CACATTTTACACTGTAACCCAGGACAGTAAAGCAAACATCTTCAGTTCTCTGTGTATTCAGTAACGGTGTGAGTGCTAGCTTCTGAGATTTGTGCTATTGTCAACGAAAGCTTCTTTATAGCTGAATTTAATTTTTCATAAGAGCTGTGCAAAAGCAGCCTGTGTCACAAGAAGCAATATGGCCATCTCCCTTTGAACTGTCAGGGTTGGTATTTAACAGCTAGCTCACCATGAGCTAAAATCACCCTTTGCTGTAACATGTAAAACTACATCTGTGGACAGGTAAGCGTTTCTCTGGCTGTGGTGTTCATCTCTGCTGGTGGGGAGATGTATTCTAGACTGCCAACAGTTGATTGCCAGGCAGACTGCTGATTTTCCTGAAGAGGAGACAGTGAAATACCTACTGTGGAGCTTGGGAGGGGAGAGAGAGATTGTCAGGTGCTGCCTATCAATGAGAAGCAACATAGCCTGGATCTGAATATGCTCACAGCTCAGATCAAGTGTAGTGCAAACCCCTGGGGTTGCGGTTACCTTTGGAGCCTTTCCTGTGCACGTGGCATTCGCGAAGCTTTGTTTTAACTGACACTGTTGATGAGCAAAGCCTGGTTGTTCTGTGCAAACCCCAAATGACCAGGCTCCCACTGAAGGCAGTCCTGTAGAAGGCAGTTGTCTGTCTGTCCATGATGTCATGATTCGCAGGTATGAGAAACTTGAAATTTATTTTTGGTGTTATGTGGGATAAAATATTAGATGCTCCCTTGAAATCAACTGAATTTCAAGAGGCTGTACTGTTCGGGTCTTCAGGCTCATCTAGTTCTTTTAAATTCTACAACTAGCCACAGACTCAAATCCATCCAGATCCTCTTTTAGTGGTGAACTGACATAGCTGTCATTTCCTGGCCACTCAGTGATCCCTCTGAAATGTTCAAAAGCCAAAAGTAAAAGACTAGTCTTAACGTTGGTACTGGAAGCAGCTTGCCTGAGAGCTCAAAAAGGGGAGCAGCTGGAAAGTGTGTGTTGCTGCTATCTGTACAAGCAGCTCGGAGCTGAAGTGACCGCTCTCGGTTCAGCTTGGGAACCCGAGCTGCAGACAGGCCTGTGTAACGAGTTTGTCAGCAGTCGTGGTGTTAGATTGCGATGGAGCCGGCACCTTTCAGACAAGTGAAATGCTGGACTGAAGTTTTTCCTGTTGCCCTAAAGGCAGGTCAGCTTTGTTAGAGAAGGAGGGGGTCTGTCTGAGCCCTGTCCTCTAATGCTTCACCCAAGCACTAATCTGCCTTGAAACACAAACTCCTCTGTTCCATGGTGGATTTGCAAGGAGTCTTGCTTTGACTTATTTCAAAGCAATCACAAGGGGAAATGGATGTGTGTCTAGCCATCAGCTTTTAGGGGTGGGGATTGCTTCTGGATTGGAGCTATAAGCAATTACTGCATGAAGAAGAAAATAAAGATTTGTTTATGGTTCTGCCTAGAATCTTCCCTGAGCCCTTGGGCAGGTGGTGGTCTGAAAGCTAATTTCTTTGGCTGTAACTACGGCTACTTCCATAATTCAGACAAATGTTCCCCGTGATGGTTCCACCAGATTAGAGGTAAAAGTTTCCTTCTTACACTGGACTAACCTCATTAAGGAAAACATAGGAAACTTCCATTGTTTGCAGTAAGACGTGTTTCTTTCTCCACTCTGTGTTGCAATAAGCTTAGGGTGATAGACAGGAACAGTGCAAAGCGGGTGTGCACGTTCTTGTAGGGACATCCAGAGAGAAGACCAGCCCACTCATTCAACACACCGTAGGAAAGCAGTGCCTAGTGAGCAGCTCTGGGCAGCAGCAGCAGAGCCTTTGTCACTCTCAGGCATCTCACCATGGGGTTTTTCAGGAGAAGGGTTCCTAAAATTCCCAGAGCCCTCATTTGGCTCATTCTTTTAATACACCTTGGCATCTTCACTGCTTATTTCAACTCCCTTTTTGGCTTGTCAAAGACGTGGATTTTGAGGTAAGAGACCAGCTTTCTTGTGATACGCGCTGCCTGAATATAGTGCTTGTACTCACTTACTTTCTCTCTGTCTCCGTGTCTTTTTACCCTGATACTTGCACTTTTGATCTGAGTTAGATGACTGCTTTGCTTTAGCAGACCACGCTGTGCACCATCAGAGCATGGTGTTGGAAGATCCACAGTCAAAAACTTGCTTCTGCTGGATCTCTAGTTCCCTGTGTTTCCTTGTGTAGCTGTTTAAGAAAAGCAGCTTTTGCTTCACTAATGCTGCCTGTTTTCATACTTCGGCACTACATAGTATTTGCTTTTCCTGGTGGCTCCCAGAAGGACCTCGTCCAGCCCTGGTCCAGATTGCATTGCTGGACGTTGAATTTGGTGGGATACCTTCACATTTATCCTAAGTTCGGCATGTGATTCCTAGTACAAATACGCCGCATACCGGCAGACCATGCATGGAGACATGATCAATACCTATATTTTTTTTTATGTAAATGGTCAAGTCAATTCTACAAGAATGGGTGTGGAGGGAATTGCAGTGTAGACTGCAGTAAAATGTCTCCAGCATCTTTGGCAGGAACCGCTGTTCCTTGCATGAGCACAGCAGATATCTGAGCCTTTCCTGCTACAAGCGTGGCTCCCTTATGCGTTGGTGCCCTGTGCTGTGTCTAGGAAGCACCGCTCCCCAGCCTCCCCATCAGGCCTAATGTGGTCCCAGCTCTCCCAAGTGAGCTTGTCTGGCTTGTCTTGGTGGGGTTAGTTTTCAGGTAGACCCCTCAGGGCTGATGCCCTAGGGGCAGGCAGGAGGGGTGGGGCTGGGAACACCTACATCTCTTCTGGAGGTGGCATGAGTTTAGCTCAGCTCCAGCAACTTGAGACTGCACCTTGAGGATGGCTCTCAAGTTGGAGAGGTGGGAACCTGCACAAGGGAGGTGGAGGGAAGGAGAGAAGGAGAAGGTGTAGAGAGGTGAAGTGAGTTGTCCTTGATCACAGAGCCCATCAGTGGCAGAGCTGGGACAAGAACTCTCCGTGCCCAACGGCTTGAAGCCACTTCGTTTTGCCATAGTTTCAGATAATGGAAATGTCCATACCTTTGCAATTAGGCATGAGCTGTGTGTGGTTATCTGTGTGTCAGTTCGATTTCTGTACCTTTGTATGTAACATAAAATACACAAAGCAGCATTTTCATGGCTTTATCCTCTGTTTGTCCTAGGGCTTTGTAAATGGAGAGGAAAATGACAGTAAATGTCATTGAGTTTCTGCAGTTGTTTGCCAGCTGGACTTTAGAGCCTGAAATTTGATGAGCTGCTCTGACCATTTGTCTGGATTTAAAATGCTGGTCAGGAGAGCAGGGTGCTGTGTAGGCACAAGTGCCTGGCCATGTGGCTCTGACTGTAGGGAGCCAGGTTTTGGATGTGGAGGGCCCTCGGTTTTACATTTTGGTCTGTGTGTGTTTGGCACAGTATTTGAAGTTAAAGTATAAAGCTGAGATGGAATCTGTGCCCCGCGAGGCTGCACATGTGGAAAGTCTGGTTTGCCATACTGTCCTGTTTCATTTGCTCTCTGCCCTTTAATTTCAAAATTTTGAACGTCATCTTAAAAATACAACAGAAATTCATCCATGGATTTAAGAACTGCCTGAGCAACCTTACCAAATTCCTCTTTACTTAGAGTGTATATGTAAAATCTTTCCTCTTATTAGTCAGTAAACAGTAACACAAGTTTATAGGTGAAGCACTATGACAGAAAGCAATACTTGCTGCATACTTGGTTGAAACTGGTGAATGATTATGAGAGGAGGCAGAGAAAGAGCTGATAGGCCATTTGCCACAACCTCTTTTTCTTGGAAAAGGTGTTGGAAAGGTTCTTGGAAAAGGTGTTGTATTTATCTGATACAAAATGATTTTTAAAAGCTTCCTTAATTGATAATTTCCCAGTCACTTTAATGAATGTCATGCCACCTTGAAGCTTAAGCAACAATTGAGCTGTTATCTACAGCCTGCTATTTGCAGAGGTGCTTTTTTCCCCCCATTCGTCACCTTGGAAGCAATCCACAGCTCTCTGAAACAAATGCATCATGCATAGGCTGAAGGTGAGTGTGAAATCAGACTGACACAACTACGCTGATTTCTCCTGAAAAGCTTTGCTGTACATAAAAGCTCAGCTGCAGCAATTTTTCACCTTCCTTTTTCCTGTTCCACCCTCAGCCAACGTGCAGATAAGCATGAATGTTTGGGAGAAACCCCCACCACTTCTGCCTTGATTTTTTTTGCTGGATTTCAGCCCAGTCTTGTTTCAGGTGGCTCTTCTGCTGTTGGCAGCTGTACCCTCCTATGATATCCTTGTACCTGCCTGTGCCTCTGATTCAGGCAACAGGGGAGCTGCAGTGTTAGAGGCGGTTGCTGAAAATGCAAAGATTTTACATTTTTAAGCTTCAGAATGTATTTTAATAGCCTCAAAGTGCCTGTCTTAAGGCATGAGTACCTGGCGAGTGCTGTGTGATGCCACTGCATTAGCTGGCTAAGGGGAGGGAGCAGAGAAAAAAATGCCTTGTTGGCCCCGAACGCTCAAGAAGTGCTGTATGGTAAAGGAGTGAGTTTCACTTCTTATTAGACTTCCCTTACTGAATTCTGGAAGATCTTCATGCTCTGTTGCTGAAGCCCTTGGCTCTGCTGGCAAAGAAGAGAGCCAGATGGCTGCCTTCATGCTGTGTGCCATGCCCTGAACTCAGGATCTCCAAAACAGTCCTGCAGTGCTCTGGGGACATTGCCAGGGGTCCTGCCCAGGGCAGGGCAAAGCTGTTCTGTGCTGGTTTGCCCTTACTGCCAGTGTGGATGTTTCATGAGCCAAGTGCTGAAGAGAAGTGTGTAGCCTCTGGGATTTGCTTAGTGGGGAGATAAGCGGTATTCTGGCCAGAATGATGTGGGAAGTTGAATAACACTTCGATGGTGAAGTTGAAAATGAAATTGAATTCATACAGCATCCTGCAAAAACTCAGTGGCAGTTGCCAAGGCAAGTCCTCGGAGTGTGGTGGTCATATGCAGTGGTTGGTCTGAAGCAGAGAGGGGCTCAGAGTCAAGAGCACTAGAAATGGGCTGGAAGGTGTTCAGCGTTAAGTGGAAAGTGTGTGTGACGTGTCTGCTTTTCCTTTGATTGCATTCAGGCAACTGGGCGTTTTCCAGCATGCCCCACGTATGCTACAAGAGGACACCCAGGATCATCAGGGTTTAAACTACTCTGATAATGGGGACTCAAGGGGCTTTTTAAAGGTGACTTTGGGGAGAGACATCACGAGGCTTGAACAAGATACGGTTGAGAGGACACCAAGATGGGAAGGAAAGGACAAGCAGAAGAAAATGATGAAACCAGTTGCCAGGGTGGAGGAAGCAAAGGAGAACATGACTGTGAAACCACCTCCTGGGTTGGAGAGAATGAAGAAGACAACAGTGAAAACAGGCCCTAGGGTGCAGGAAAACAAGACGAAAACAACAGTGAGACCATCCCCAGGGATGGAAGAAGCCAAGGAAAAGACAATAGTGAAACCACTTCCCGCTGTGGAGGAGAAGGAGAAGGCAACAGTGAAACCATTCCCTGGGGTGAAGGGAGCTCAGGAAAACAACATATCCAAAGACCAAACAAAGCCAACTGTAAGACCTGTTCCTCAGGCTGCTGCAGTGACTGAAAAGAAGAAACTGAGGGCTGCTGACTTCAAGTCTGAGCCACGGTGGGATTTTGAGGACAAGTACCTGCTGGACAACTCATCTCCACCATCGGTAGGTGTGATGGCCACGTGTATTCGCCAAGAATGATGCCTCCCTGTTGACCTCCTTGTCTGCTGTCCCCTGGGCACGTGTGCCCTTTGCAGTTGAGGATGATCTCTGAGCTGGTAGGTCAACTCACTGGTATATGCAGATGCTGCTGGGACCCAGAGAGGGAGACCTGTATGTACGGCTCAGCCTAGCCAGTCCTCCGCTGTGCTCCAGTGTGGGAACTGGGCTGCAATTGCACGCATTTCCAGGGATTCCTTTGAAAGTCAGACTGAGCAGCCCTTTCTGGAGCTCAGGTGCATCATAAGCTGGGGAAAATATCTGTCCTTCTAGATGTGCTACAAGACGGTCCCACTCTTGGGTATATTGCATAGGGGACTTAGACACGTAGTGCAGTGTGTATGTTCCCTGTGACTTGGCACCCTAAGGTCAGTTGGGTCACACCCAGTCTTGTGATGCCTACGGGCAGGCATTAGGTGTCTGGCTCTAAATGGCAGTCTACATACAGGTGTCCCCTTTCTCACCTGATCTCTTGGGGAACCGAACATCTGCATTCCTACGAAGACTCAGGTTTACAATCCCCAGGTTTGCCTTGATGTTTGTTTTACGCAGCCCAGCTAAAGCAAAGAAGCAGGGTCATGGTGAGGGAATAGGGATGCCTCCGTGTGCCTGTTCACTCAAGCACACACGTACCAAACCAAGTCCAAAGCTTTGGCAGCAGCGGGGCAGCCGTGACGCTTGTGCTGTGCTGGACTGCGAAGAGTGATGCTGGCAGCGGTGGTGAGGAGGGTCACGGTTCACAGGAATGGAGGCTTTGTTCGTTGCTTGTATTAAAGTCAAAATAAGGTCAAAGAAAAAGGGTTAAATGAGGATTGACAAGCATGTTTCTGCCTGCTTTGGAGACGGGAGGGTGGGGACCATTCCTGTTTTTAAGGTTTTCTGTCAATGTTGGCGGAAATTCAGATATGTGTGTATGTGCCTCATTGGAGAAATGATGGTTAAAAAGTAATTTTTTTACTATTCTTGTGGTTTATTATCAACAAGGGGAGAGTCTTTCCCAGGTGTCGCCAGTTCACCTTTTCCACCCTGTGTACAGACATCTGTAGTGAGCAGACAGATTCGTTACCCATTCAGAGCTCCACGACTCAGATGGTCCCAGCGTGTTGGGTTCCTGTCTAGGATTTTCTTGCTATGCATTGAACCTTCATCACAACAGAGCGAATCATTCATAACAGATCTGGCATTCAACAAGCCTTGCTTTGTTCCTCTTTGTTAAGCAGGAACTGCTGTAGGCCGGGTCGGCACAGATAAAGTATTTTGGTAGAGGTGAAGATGAGGATCTGAGATGATACAGGTGTATTTGTCAAGGCAGTAGCACTCACAGAGCTACAGCTTCTAAGTTTTCTTACAGATGCTGTTCTGTAGGTTAGTTCTCGTGGTCACCTCTGCCTGTGTAGGTCATGTTACTGATGTGATCTTCCAAACCAGTAAGTCTGGTGCCCACCATCAGGTTGTCTTAACAGCCATGGAATTGAAAGTCTGTCTTTTTCTTTTCTGTTTTGCACGGAACTCTTGTTCTGACCATATTTTTTGACCTTTCCTTTGTAGGTATGAGGGTTTGGAACTAATTTAAAATGAAATCTGAGTGTCTCATAATTACTCGGGTCCAGGAACAGGGCCTTTAGGAAAGTCGTAAACTATAGCAAAGTTCTCAGCAAGCAGATGGGGCAGGTTGTGGTGCACAATATTGTCTCTGCCCACCATGTTACACTCGTAATTCTTTGTAAAGCTTACCCAGAGCAGTTTTCCCTGGCACCCCTGTTGCTGGAAGGCTTGGACAGGCAGGCAACCCTTTCTAGAGTGAGGAAGGTCTTTTATACATGGGTGTAAGTGGCCTTTACACACTGCTTGTGCTCAGGGAGGAGGCAGGGTGTAGCAGAGGTCGGAGCACCTGTTCTAGCTCGGTGGTCTTAGATGAGTCATTTGCCCATTTAAGGTCTCAGTGCTGCAACCTTCCACCATTGCCATGTGTCATTTTTGTGGCATTAGGGCGAATGTAGATGTTGTTTCAGGGAACTGCCAGGGCTGCAGGTACCGTGTCGTTCTGCTCAGACCTCTCCCAGTGGAGCAGGGGCTACTCTTGAAAAATTTAATCCCATTCCCCAACCCCAGGATGCCCTGGGAGACATGAAGAAAGCAGAGGTGGATGAACTGGGCCGATAAAAAAAAAAATCCTAGGATGAGTTTTACTGTTCTGATGTTTTATTTGTGAAGGGAGTAGCCACTTGAGCACATATACACCATCCCAGGAGTCGCACACAGACCATCTGAGGCTTTCCTGCTGCGACCAGAGTCCCTTTGCAATAGGTGACTCCAGTGAACTGATGGTTGCCCCTTTCCACTCCTTTCGCACACACATTCTCATTCTCGAGTGCTTCTCTTTTCCTCAGGTTCAGCCCTAGGTTTCCCGTAGCGGAGTCTTAAGCATTGAATCTTATAAAAATAATTTATTCAGATGGTACAGCAGAAAAAAAAAACAACCCAGCTTGAGCTGCGTGCCTCCAGAGAAGGACCCAGCACCAAGAAACCCCTGGGCAGTTGTACCCTTACGATCTAGACACCCACCCCTCACGCACTCTTCATGTGCCTTTTGGTCCAATGGTGATTTTTGGTCTGGGATCCCCTAACACCGTATTGGATTCCTTCTCTGTCTCCAGGCAGGCCATTAACTGTTCTTATCTCCTCAGGTTGCAGCCTCTGCTGCCGGTGGTAGCCTCCTTATCTTCTGGTTTGTGCTGACCCTGGGGGCCCTCTTTTGCTTAACTAGGTAGAAGTCCACCAGATGGGGAGGGACTCTTGATCGGGGGTGTAGTGATAGGATGAGGGGTAACTGAAGTTCAAACCGAAGGAGGGTAGATTGAGATTAGCTATTAAGAAATTCTTTACTGTGAGGGCAGTGAGACACTGGCACAGGTTGCCCAGAGCAGCCGTGGCTGCCCCCTCCCTGGCAGTGCTCAAGGCCAGGCTGGACGGGGCTGGGAGCAACCTGGTCTGGTGGGAGGTGTCCCTGCCCATGGCAGGGGGGTGGAACTGGATGGTCTTTAAGGTCCCTTCTGACCCAAACCAGTCTGTGGTTCTATTATCTCGGTGAAAGCTCACAGCGTGCGGCCTAAGGCTTCAGCAAATCTAGTTACTCCTGCTAAGTAACGCTATCAGTGTACCAAATGCACAGCATTATGCTGTAACTCCTGCATCCTAATGCTAAATGGTTGTCTTGGAGCATTTCATTCTGTTTAAAACTTATTATTTAAGCTGAAGAGCTAATACTTCATAACATTATTTTTGAGTTCTCTCTCCCTTGTGGTATTTTGATGTTGTTCCCTGTTGCCCCTTTTGGTAGCGTGAGCCATTCTTTTGCTGATGGGGTGTGCTCTTCGTTGTGGCGTTGAGCTGCTTGAGAGGAGCAGCTAGCCCTAAGGGTACCTCTGTTATCCCAAGATCTGTGACTATTAAGTGAGGAATTTGTTTGGCGGTTAAACGCTTGAGCTCGTGCACTGGCCCAGGTTTACTGAGTCACAGCAGAAGGGCCTGGCAGGTGACCCAGTCCGTGCTGCAGGATGTGCATCCTTCTTCCTGGGCTCCCTGTGGTCTTGAGGCACCCGGAGTACAAATGGGAGTGGGCAAATTACATGGCTAAGAGTACGTACGCCACATGAAACAGTACCTCACCTCTCCTGCCCAGCGTTGTCACCTGTGTACACAGTGGGGTTAGGTCACCAGGAGCCTGCTCGTTGGCTGCCAGGTTCTCCCGTTTTCTCCTCTGTGAGCTCCGGAGCACATGCAGCCATCTCAGAAGGGCAGAGCAGGAGCTGGCAGAGAAATAGGAGGCAACAGTTCACAGCAGGAAGCCGAGAGCACCCTCCACTGAACTGAGGCTGCAGAGCATCTGAGTGTGCAGAACAGCTGAGACAGTGGGGGAAACCCTTCCTCAGTAGGGATAAGAGGAGAAAACGCGTGCAGAAGGGTCTTTAGTGAAGATGTGTATCCAGACATCACATGTTGGGTCTCGCTCCCAAACCTGATCTCTGGTTCTGCAGAGAGAGAGAGTGACGAGAAGCACTCCCACCTCCTTCATTTCCTACGTGATCAGACTTTTCCCTAGTTCCTCTGGTATTGATCCAGTCTAGCTGTGGAGGCACAAGAAGTACCAAGCCTTGGACAGTACAAAGGACAGCTTGAGCAGGAAGGGAATGTCCCTGTCTCTGGACGTGAAATGTGCTGCAAGTGAAATGAAGCCAGCATGAAACCTTCCACAATGTTCTTCTCATTGCACTCCTGTTGTGACAGGCAGAATGAGGGCTGTCTCCTCAGTCTGTGACCAGATTGTCACCCTCACCCACAGCAGAGAGCCTAGCTCAGCTGTGGAGCACACAGCAAGGCTTTTGCAATGCAGTCTGGTCATTGCTGGGGATTTGAGCTGGGCATGGGGGTCCACTTGGTCTCCTATTTTGTCTTTTCAGTAGGTATTGTGGTAGGTATTTGGAGGTGATGTCTAAGAAATTAGAGCCCAAATTGGCTCTGGAGTCACCGTGGCTTCCCTGTAGGTGTCTTTTCACCAGCTAGTTATTGCTGTAGTGCTGAAATTGTGCCTCATGTGATGGGGACACTGAGGGGAAGGGATGATGTACCACTGGAGTTTCTGTGCTTCTTTCCGATACTGTCACACGCAGGCACGCAAGTGCTGGCGCTCAGTCAGGTTTCTCAGCTCCCTGCTAATCAGTCCTTATTGTTTTCTTTCTGTTTTTCAAGACCTGCTCTGAATCAGTGAAGGCCAAAGCTGTCAAGTCTGACTGGCTGCGACATCTTTTCCTGCCCAACATCACGCTCTTCACAGACAAGCGATACTTCAGTGGCAGTGAGTGGGACCGCCTGGAGCATTTTGCACCTCCGTATGGCTTCATGGAGCTGAATTATTCACGTGAGTCCCTCAGGGCATGTCAGGATGGGACCATCACACTCCCAACAGCAAGCTTATGCTGAGTTGCTGGAGGTTTGCAGCATCTCCCTGTCAAAGGCATCAGGCTAGATGGATCTCATGGAGGTAACTGTTTTCACTGCCTCCAGCCCAAAGGCTCTTGAAGCTGACTCTCCACCATGTTTGCTTCACAGTGGTGGAGGAGGTCATGTCCCTGCTGCCCCCAAATCCCCACCAGCAGCTGCTCCTGGCCAACAGCAACAGCAGCGTGCCGACATGCATCAGCTGTGCCGTTGTGGGGAACGGAGGAATACTGAATAACTCTGGGATGGGCCAGGAGATTGACTCCCATGACTACGTCTTCCGGTAAGGCAGGCTTCCTTCTCAGAAGATACACAGCTAGCTTATTCCGGCTAGCAGATAATTATGGCTGGATAACTTCACCTCTTCTAGTATTGCACTGACTCCCAAGTGCCAAAATGGGACTGATGGCAGGAGGTGATGAAAACCCAAAAAGGAATTGGAAAGTTCCTGAACACCCCGGAAGAGCCTGGGTTCACAGGTGAACCATGAAGAGCTTTCTACAAAGGAGGGGCTCTCCTGCAGGGCAAGAGGTGTAGCTCAAAATGGGCCTAATCCTACTCTTCCTCCAGACTAACGCTGTCTTTTCCTGTTGTAAATGTGGATGTGAGGGTTTTCAATGGTCACCTGCTAACCCTGCTCCTCTGTTTGATTTCCTTGGCTAGGGTGAGTGGGGCTGTGATCAAAGGTTACGAAAAAGATGTGGGAACAAAAACCTCCTTTTATGGATTCACAGCCTACTCCCTGGTGTCCTCTCTCCAGATCTTGAGATACAGAGGGTTCAGCCACATCCCACAGGGAAAAGTAAGTCAGGCCCATGCTGCATGCATGCACAGCTTTGATGGGACGCTCTTAGTCTGTGGCCTTCCGTTCTGATCTTGCCATGCATGAGGAGCAAAGGGGCTGAGCTAACGCTTTAGCGTCACCCGTAGTGAGGAAACCTGCATTGGCTTGGCTCAGTGTATTTGCAGTGGCAAGTTGCATCAGTCCAGCCCCAGCCTTTTGGCATGTAGAAGTGTCTGCACATCAGATGTTTTCTCCTTTCCGCTTCTGTGGGATAATTAAAGGCTGCAGACCGAAGATGTGTGTCTGAGAAACTCGGTGGGCCTAGGTGCCCGCTTGCTTTTTTGTTTTTAAAGGATGTGTCTCTCCTGTGCTGTTCATTAACGCTCACTTGTTTTCTTAGGATGTCAGATACATTCACTTCCTAGAGGGAGCTAGAGACTACGAGTGGCTGAAGGCTCTTCTGCTGAACAAGAACATCAGGGATGGATTCTTGAACATCTACGGGTAAAACAAACTGGCCCTATCTCTATACCCTTCAGTGTGGAGCATTCTGTTGTGCCCTTTTCCTCTCCACAGTGCTCAGCCCTGCTGGGGTGCAGACCAGGGTAAAGCCACGTTAAAGCCTCCCTCCCCTGGCAGATTTGTCTGGAGAAATACCTTATTTCTTCCACAGCTCTGAGTGCAACTGATACACCACCTTCCCAGAAGCAGCTGATTTCAATGATGGGTGGCCAGAGCTTGGAGAAAGCTTTGTGGTTCTTATCACCAAGCGCATCAGGGCTGTGATGAAATATAGGAGCTTGTCCTGAGTCTCCCCATTCCTGTCCTTAGGCAGAGGCCCCGGGAGAGGTTTGATAAGGATTTCACAATGGACAGATACTTGGTGGTTCACCCCGATTTCCTCAGATACATGAAAAACAGGTGAGCTGGGGGTTATGTGCTCTAACGGGCTTATTTTTTCTGGCCAGCACCATCTCTCTCTGTCTCTGGGCTCTATCCTCCCAGCTCACTCCCTTGTAACTGCAGTTTAGCCCCACCAGGGGGATATTAGTGGCAAGTAGATGTCCAGCATCTGTGAGCTGGGGAAGCAACAGCAGTTAGGCAGTTTGGCTTTCTGTGTCTGAAAGAGGTCCTGGGCAAATGGCAACTTGAGACGTGGGAAGAGTGTTGCTGAAGTGCCAGAATACTTAATCGGATTCAGGACCGACCTTTCACGTTCCCCATTGCTCAGCACCTTGGAGGAAGGCTCTGTAACAGCCCTTCTCTCCCGAGATCCCTTCTTGACTCGAGAGGTTGGTTGTGCCCCCAAACATGATAACAGGCACTTCTTCAGATTCCCATTTGCCTGGCCTGGATGCTGCTCTTTGCCTCTCTGATCCTTTTCACGAGCATGCTGGACGCTGTCACTCTAAGATCTGCTGGTTGTGAGCCACGTGGCCAGGAGATGTGGGAGGAAGAGCTGCTGTGGTGCCCTGCTTTGGCTGCGCTTACCCTTCGGTCTCCTTGAGAGCTGAGTTATGGCTTCTCTGAGAGAAGGCAAATGCAGTGCCAGATGGCTTGCACCTCCCTGCTCGTTCTGCCGTCTCCCCTTTGACTTGGGTCTTTTCCAAGGCCAAGAGAGCTTGAATGTGGACTCCTATCGTCCTAACAACTGCTGGCAGAAAACTACAGCTCCTAGCAGGTTTTGTGACCCTCCTCGCACCCTTTCCTGTGTCTCATTTCACTCCTGAACGTGGATGGGGAGCAGGGAGCTTCAAAGCTATTTCTGCACTGCAAGGCAAAGCACAGATTTAAGAGTGGGCTTTAACGTACTAGATCCTTTAATCCACCCCCTTTCTACCCCACTGCCTCAAGACCTACCCCTTCCATACAGCTGGGGCGGCGCTGGGCTTAGGTTGCAGTGCAGGTGATGGAGCGTTCTGGGCTGGCCTTGTGCTGTGCTGAGCGCACAGCGGTACCCACACATGTGGGCATGCTCAGGGCTTGTCTGAAATGTCACAAACTGCTGCGAGGAGGGAAGATGCCACGCAGTCCACAGGGGGGACAAGGTGTGCCACCAGCCTGAACCACCATACCCAGCCACTGCTGTGTGCTTTCTTCTCTCCTGCTGCAGGTTTTTAAAATCTAAAAGTCTGCAGAAGCGCTACTGGCGGCTGTACAGACCCACAACGGGGGCCTTCCTGCTGCTGACTGCCCTCCATCTCTGTGACCGGGTAAGGGGACGATGATTCTTGCGTACAGCACTGTCTGGAAGGGGGGACAGGGTAACAGGGCTGAGCAGGGGTGGCTCCAGCCCTGCCCACCATCTGCCTTGAGGGTATATGGGTTCTTGTCAGCTGTGAAGGAGCTGACTGAAGGCAAGAGAAACAGCCCCAAAATAGTTCACATAGAGGTTGTGAAGCCGCTGTGGCCTGAGAGCCATCCTGCCTCCCAGGGAGGCAACAAGAGGACAGCAGGCTCTCTGGAGCCAGTGTTCATAGTCTGGTCCTTCTGGACCCCATGCAGGGTCACCCAGAGGAGCCCTGACTGGCATCCCTGTCCTGTGCTCCCTCCCCATTTGGGAACTGTGTCCTGTATTTCACTTGGCTCCCTCTGTCCTTGGTACCTCTCCCCAGCGAGTCCTCTGTCTTCCCAGGTGAGCGCCTACGGCTACATCACGGAGGGTCATGAGAAGTACTCGGATCACTACTATGACAAAAACTGGAAACGTCTGGTTTTCTACACTAACCATGACTTCAACCTGGAGAAGCAGGTGTGGAAAAAGCTTCACGATGAGAATATCATGAAGCTTTACCAGAGATCCTGATTGTGTGGCAGGGGCCATTGCCTGGGAAATCTCAGTAACACCTCACTGGGAACAGAAGAGGACCACCAGAGCCGAGGTTAGCTCTGGACTTCCAGGCACATCTCATCCCCACAAAGATATTTCCCTCCTTCAGCACCTCCGTTCTCTCACAACATTTCTACAAACGTGCAAGTACTACAGACTAGAAGAAGAGCAAGAAAGTGCAGCACACCAACAAAGGAGTCCCATCTGGCTGTGCTGCGAGACTTGCTCACGATCGCGGGCACTGATGTTGGGAAGAGAAGAATCCAGGGTAGCATATGGTCCAGCATCCTGCATCTTCAGCCAGGCTTTCCCCTCTTTGCAAGGAGATGCTTCTCCGGTTGGGCTTACTTCTGTTCTGGGTGGATCCTCTCCATTGGTGATGCCCGTCTTGGGTGTATTGTCTAAGCAAGCTCCCTCGGCAGCCGGTGGATGGAGGTGGACGCACAGATCCTGTCTCAGGTTCACTTAATTCCTGGAGGTGCTGCTCTCACTCTGCTCCCTGCAGATAAAAAGGATGGGCTGGATACTTCCAGGTGACTAATTTGAGACAGGATGAGTCTCACTTCTGCTTCCCAGCGTGGCCTTGTCACGACACCTCTGAAGGAGCACCGCCACCATCAGCTCAAGGGCAGGTCAATGCTCTCCATGGCGCAGCAGGCATGCCGGACTTGGTGCCTCTTGCTCTGGGGCTGCCCTGGCTGCAGGACAGGTGAATGTTGTGTTGAGGTCCTGGTGTGCCAAGTCCTTGCTTAGCTGGGCTTTGGCATGCTTGGCTCCCCGCTGCGCCAGGAGTGCTGTGTTTGCCCTCTTGCTGGGGGAGGTAAGAGCTCTCCAAGTCCGGGGACGGATGCCATCCGTCCGTGCTGCTGGCTGGAGTGCCTGTCCCCCATCGTGCTGAGGGGAGCCTGGTTGCAGCCAGCCAGCCAGCCTGCGGCGTATTTGCCTTCTGAAAGGGGTTTTGCGAGCAAAATAAATTGGCACTACTTTGGCCAAGCTGATTTTTTTTGATTGCGGCCCTGTGGGTTGTGGTTATTCAGTGTGTGTCCAAAGCAGTTGCTTGAAGGCTGAGCTACTGGATGATGAAGCCAGGAAAAGGCAGGACTGAGTGTTCATGAGAAAACCTCCATCTGCGGGTGCTCTGCAGCTTGTGTGCACGTACCTGAGCATCCCCCACTTGCTCACCTTGCTGTTGCAGGATGGGGATCAGAGCTGGCCCAGCGCCTCCCTGAGGAAGCGGGTAAACACCTGGTGAGTTTGTCCTTGTCCCAGCAACGGCTCTCTAAGTAGATCAGATGCTGGAGACAAATGCGTGAAGGGCTGGATGTTTTCCCAGGGACACCATGTAGGCAAAAAAAAGCCGCTTCTAGTGTCTGGGCAGGTCCAGCGCATCTCCACGGGCTCATCGTCGGGCTCTGGATTGGGGCCCAGCTGCACACTGACTGGTCCCAGTGGACCTGCTCTGGCTGGGAGCGGTTTTCCTTTGTGCAGCATTTCTGTTGGGGAGGGGACAGCAGCGTCTCCAGGGACCCCCCAGGCTCTGCGGGAGGCATTTCAGCGTGGATTGTCAGCAGGGTTTGTCAGGCCTGATTTCCTTTGTCCCTTTCTTCCTGGTGCTGTGGAGAGGCCAAGCAGTTTCTCATGTCTCACTAAGCTTGTTTGCAAAGGACAACCCCGCACATTAATAATCAAAATGAAGAATTTGGCTTATCTGGGAGGGGGTCGAGCCTGCATTTGGCTGCTCTGCCCATATAAGCCCCACAGTGTCTGTGGGAGCAGGCAGTTATCCAAAATGCACTGTGCCTCTGTTGGGGGTG